GCTGTCTTCCAAATTTCTTGGCATAGATGAGTGAGTACTTCCAGTGTTGTATCTGTTTGTTGAAACATCTCAATTGGTATTCTTTCAATTCCTGGAGTCTTGTTTTTCGCTAATGAATTCAGTGCAGCTTGAACGTCTTCCTTCAGTAACCTCCTGAAATGGTTGAATATCAACCAGTTCTTTTTGGTACAGTGACGCTGTGTATTCCTTCTGTCTTCTTTTGATGTTTCCTGTGTCATTAATTTTTTGCCAATAGAATCCTTCAACATTGCAACTCGAGGCTTGAATTTTTTCTTCAGTTCTTTCAGCTTGAGAAATGCCGACCATGTTCTTCCCTTTTGGTTTTGTAACTCTGGGTCTTTGCACATTTTGTTATAATACTTTGTCTTCTCAAGCTGCCCTTTGAAATCTTTTGTTCAGCTCTTTTACTTCATCATTTCTTTCATTCACTTTAGCTACTGTACATTCAAGAGGAAGTTTCAGAGTCTCTTGCTCAAAGTCTCTTCTGACATCCATTAATGAGTATCATTAATATCACACACAAGTAAAATTTTGCTGAAGATCATTCAAAAACAATTGTAGCAGTACATCGACAAGGAATTGCCAGAAATTCAATTTGGATTCAGAAGAGGACCTGGAACGAGGGATATCATTTTGATGTGAGATGGATCTTGGCTGAAAGCAGAGAATACCAGAAAGATGTGTACATTGTTTTATTGATTCTGCAAAGGCATTCGACTGTGTGGATCATAACAAATTATGGGTAACATTGTGAAGAATAGGAATTCCAGAACACTTATTTGTGCTCATGCAGAACCCGTACATAGACTGAGAGGCAGTCGTTCAAACAGAACAAGGGGATACTAACTAGTTTAAAATCAGAAAAGGTATGCATCAGGGTTGTATCCTTTTACCAGAGTTATTCAGCCTGTATGCTAAGCAAATAATCCGAGAAGCTGGACTATATGAAGAAGAACTCGGATTGGAGGAAGACTTATTAACAACCTGTGATATGCAGATGACACAGCCTTGCTCGCTGAAAGTGAAGAGGACTTGAAGCACTTACTGGTGAAGATCAAAGACTACAGCCTTCAGTACGGATTACACCTCAGCATAAAGAAAACAAAAATCCTCACAACTGGACCAATAAGTAACATTATGATAAGTGGAGAAAAGACTGAAGTTGTCAAGGATTTCATTTTACTTAGGTCCACAGTCAATGCCCATGAAATCAGCAGTCAAGAAAACAAATGACATATTGCATTGGGCAAATCTGCTGCAAAACAAAAGATCTCTTTAAAGTATTAAAAAGCAAAGATGTCACTTTGAGGACTAAAATGTGCCTGACCCTAAGCCATGGTATTTTCAATCACCTTGTATGTATGGGAAAGCTGGACAACGAATAAGGAAGACTGAAGAAGAATTAATGCATTTGAATTGTGGTGTTGGCAAAGAATATTAAATATACTGTCAGAAGAACAAACAAATCTATCTTGGAAGAAGTACAGTCAGAATGCTCCTTAGAAGTGAGGATGGCCTAACTTGGTCTCACGTGCTTTGGACATGTAATTAGAAGGGACCAATCCCTGGAGAAGGACATCATGCTTAGTAGAGGGTCAATGAAAAAGAGGAAGACCCTCAACAAGATAGATTGACCCAGTGGCTGCAACAGTGGGCTCAAACATAGCAATGATTGTGAGGATGTCACAGGACTGGGCAGTGTTTCATTCCATTGTACACAGAGTCCCTGTGAGTCCAGACAGACTTGGCAGCATCTAACAACAACACCACATTAAATCTATAGATCACCTTTGGGTAGTATTAACATCTTTACAATATTAATAAGTCTTCCAACTAATACCATGAACACAGGATGTCTTTTCATTTATTTAAGTCTTCCCTAAAATTTTTCAGCAATGTTTTGTAGTTTTCAGTGTATAAGTCTTTCACTTCCTTGGTTACACTTATTTCTAGGTATTTTATTCTTTCTGATACTGTTGTAAATGCAGTTGTTAATTTCCTTTTTGATTGTTCATTGCTGGTATATGGAAACACAACTAATTTTTGTGCGTTGATCCTCTACCCTGCAACTTTGCTGACTTTGTTTATTAGCTCTAGTAGGTTTTTTGGTGTATTCTTTGGGATTTTCTGTATATATGATCATGTCATCTGCAAGTAAAGATAGTTTTACTCTTTCCTTTCCAATTTATGGAGCTGGTGGAGTAGTGATTTAAGAGTTTGGCAATTAACCAAGAGGTCAATAGTTTGAAACCATCAGCCACTCCTTGGAAACCCTACGGGGCAGTTCTGCTCTGTCCTACAGGGTCACTGTGAGTTGGAACCAACTCAGCGGCAACGGGTTTGGGTTTTTTTTTTTTCCAATTTATATACCTAATTGCTCTGCCAAGAACTTCCAGTATAATGTTGAATAGCAATGGTGAAAGTGGGCCTGCTTGTCTTACTGATGATCTTAGGAAGAAAGCTTTCACTCTTTCACTATTGACTATGATGTTAGCTGTGGGTTTTTCATAAATGCCCTTTATCAAATCCATTTATTTTTAAATTTTAAAATTTTTCATTTCCACAATTAATCATTGGTCCTTTTTTTGAATCAGTCTTTTGTTAGTGGCTCAGGAGCCCTTTCAATATTTTGGTAATGTAGATTCATACTCTACTTCTAGCTAATTCCTGCTTCCAGTATCCAGAGCGCAGCAGGCCCATGATTTCACCCCCTTCTTACTTCTCTGTGTTTCTTTAACTCTTTTGTTTCTTCATAGAGATTCTTATCTTGTATTTGAGTGCAACTATGTCTTTTTAATTTTTTATAATATGAGTTTTATCTATCTTGCTTTTATTATTTAATACGATTTGGTATTTTCCTTTTTAAAAAATATTGTGTTATGTTTTTAGTGAAAATTTACACATCGAATTAGGTTCCCATCTAATAATTTCTATATATATTATGTAGTGACATTGGTTACATTTTTTACATTGTGTCAACATTCTCATTATTTCCATTCTAGTTGTTCTGTTTCTACTAATCTAGCTTCCCTGCCCCCTCTGAGCTTCTCATCTTTGCTTTAGGGTCAATGTTGACTGTTTGATCTCATATTGATTTTTTTTTTAAAGGAACACAGTACCCATGGGAGATACTGTTTATTTTATGAGCCAGTCTGTTATTTAGCTAGAAGGTGTCCTCCAGGAGTGATTTCAGTTCAGAGTTTAAGGGGTATCTCAGGGTGATAGTCTTGGGGATTCCTTTAGTCTCTTCTGGTCCTGTAAGTCTGGCCTTTTTTTTTTTTAATTTGAGTTTTGTTCTACAGTTTTCTTCTATTCTGTCTGGGACCATCTATTGCGTCCCTGGTCATAACGGTCGGTAGTGGTAGCCGAGCACCATCTAGTTCTTCTGGTCTCAGGATAGGTGAGACCATGGTTCATATAGGCAGTTAGTCCTGTAGACTAGTGTCTTTTTTGAGTCTTTGGTTTTCTTCTGCTCCAGATGAGTAGAGACCAATAACTGTATTGGTATTTTCTTATGCAGCTAAATCAATCAGTGATTTTCAGCTGGGGCATTTTTGTCCCCCAGGGTATATTGGGTAACGTCTGGAGACATTTTTGGTTGTCACAACTTGGGGAGAGGGAAAATGCTACTGGGATCTAGTGGGTAAAGGCCAGGGATGCTGCGAAACATTCTACAATGCATAAGACAATCTTTCACAACAAAGAATTATCCAGTCCAAAATATCAGTAGTCCTGAGGTTGAGAAACCCTGTCTAAATGATAACATCATTATAATTTATTTAACTGACTTTTAATTTTGGACATTTAGGTTACTTCATTTTTTTTTTTTTTTTGTATTCTAAGTATTACTTTGATAAATAGCCTTATATATCTTTTTTGTACCATTAATTAATTCCTGAATGTAGACATTTCTGAATCCAGAGAGCCCTTAAGATTTGAAAGGCACCATCTTATAAGCTGGAAATTATTTAGGAAGTAACAAACATATGGAAACAACAAAATCTTTATCATGTCATGTCCTTAGTGGAACTTGATAAAACATTTGCACAAAAAGCTCTTCAATTATTTTTACACTTCTCAATCCTTTTTTTTTAGAATAATACACTCCTAAGTTGTCTTAAGGCCCTTCAAGTTCTACACGTCCTTTTGTGAAAGCTTTCCACAGCTTGTTTTATACTTAGGTAACAGATTTCAGAATCTTAATGAAGGCTTGACCAACCTGACTATAATCACCTCATGGTTTCTTTATTCCTCATTCTTTTTAATACACATAAGTATTAATTGGTAGCATGTATCGAAAAAACAGATGACTGGATTTAATTTGCTGTGCAACCTTAGTTCAGTCGCTTCTCCTACCTGGGCCTCAGTTGTACTAGGGGTTATACCACACAATTCCTGTAGACTTTTCCAGTTATTAAACCTGCTATTATTTTACGTTGTTTTTATTTAGCTTTTGGCTATAATCTTTTACTGCTCCTGAGATAAAGTAGAGGTAAAACTTAAGATTTCTAGGATCTTAAAAATTCCTCAGGTTTGTTATTTTGCTACCCTCAGCTGCCTCCTTGTAATATAGATGATACAACTCTTAAAATGAAAAGTGTCTTATGTTGGCAGACTACAAGGAATGATGCTGGGGAAATAGCAAACAAATCCACAGCTGGACTGGGAAGGCAGAAAACCAGATAGGAAAAGAAGGAGGTGGCTGCTGTTATAAAAACGAACAAAACGTAGGTCTCAGATCCTGGCAGGGTCAGAGAAGTATGCCTGAGGTCCTAATCAGCAGAAGGCTTGTGTAATTCTCTAACTCAGGGTCTCAAAGTTTATTAAATTGCATAGGACTAGACTTCAAGTCTCCAAACGTCCTGATTAATGTCTTGGTACTATATTTTGTTATATAGTTTGAAATATTATATTATTTAATATTACCTAGAGAATGAAAATACATACATGAAATATTCTTTTATAATTCATTTGTATAGGTTTCTTTAACTACTTAACCTATTTTCTGGCTGCTGGTGCTGTTATTTTGGGAATTGGTTTCTTTGCTTTGGCATCAGCTTTGTGGTTCCTGATTTGCAAACGAAGGTAGGATTTATTAGATCGTTTGTTTCACTTTGTTTTTCTTTCATACACTCAATAAAGGATTTTTTTCAGATGATATTAAATGTAAATAACTATATGATTATTGATTTTGTAATTTGGGATTTGAGTTATAGGCCCTTTAGTGAGGGGAGGGGAGGGCTTTACATGTTTGAAGTAGCCTGAAAAGAGAAGTCCTAGAGTAGCATAGTAGCAATTTTCATGCACTAAAATTTTGAGAAATAATGAGAATCATTTTGTTCTCTAGATGACATGAGTTTGGACTATAAGGCTAGACATTAAGGAAAAAATGGATTTCCAGTTTAGAGATTAAAAACATCACTGAGAGAGGAAGGCCCCATTTCTTTTGGAGATATGTAAGAAAATTGTTGATGGGAATGCTCTGGGATGGTCTAAAAATAGTTGTTTGCCAGAGAAAGAAGGATAGATTACTTGACACCTTAGTTACTTTTAACCCTAAAAGTTGGTATTTCTAATTATGTACTCAGTTTAGAATTTGCTTTGTCTGATGTTTAAAAAGGTAAACCATAACATGATCTTCTCCCCCACACAAGCAAGTACCTCTTTCAGTGTTCCCTGTCTTAACAAATGAATGCATACTATATATACATCCACTTGCACAAGTCAGAAACCTAGAAATTATTCGCTTAGTCATTCTTTCAACAAATATTTGCTGGTGTCTGCCATTGTTCTGGATACTGAGGATACAACTCTGAACAAGTCAGACAAGTTTCCTGTTCCATACACTTGTAGTATATCTGGGAGGAGACAGATAATGATCAAACAGATAAAGTTCAGGGAATGCCTCTTCAAGTAGGTAATATTTCTTGAGAGCTGGGTTAAAAGAAGGAGCCAGCCATATGAAGACCTAGGGCAATAGCGTTCTAAGCTTAAGCATAGCCAGTACACAGACGCCAAGGTGAGAACGATCTTGGCATTGTTCAGTGAACAGAATGAAGGCCAGTGTGGAAAGACCATAGTGAGAAAGGGAGCTAATGATATGAAACGAGGTTGAAGAGACAGGTATGCGCCAGCTCACATAGGAATGTCTGGCAGGGATAAGGAGTTTGGATTTTATTCTTTGTGCCATTTGACAGTTTTAAGAGGGGAACAGCATTATCATCATGGTAATAGCTAACATCAAGTGCTTAATACATTCTAGGTGGGGCTGTAAGTACTTCATATGTTATCTTGTTTAGATTTCATAACAGCTCCGTAAGTAGTAATATTATCTCCATTTTAAAGATTATGATGTCTCCTGTAGCTGATGTACATTTTCATAACACTCTTTTTAAAAATATATACAATAAAGTGCATAGATTTTAAGTGTATGGTTTGGTGAATTTTGGCAAATATACCCCATGTAACCACCACCCCAGTTGAGACATAGAACTTTCACATCATGGTGGAAAGTTCCCTTATGCTCCTTTCCAGGCATCACCCCTCACCCCTGCCCCAGAGGCAGTCATTATTTTGATTTCTGCCACCACCATGGATTAGTTTTACCTGATCTTGAACTTAATATAAATGAAATCATATAGATTTTTTTATGTCTGGCTTCTTTCACTCAACATCATACTTTTGGGATTCACTTATGCTGTTGCATTTATCCATAGTTGATTCTTCTTATTGATGTGTAGTATTCCGTTGTATGAATATACCTCAGTTTGCTCTCCATTAGCCTGTTAATGGATATTTGAGTCACTTTCAGTTTTTAGCTCTTAGGGATAAGGCTGCTACAAACATCCTTGTATAAACCTTTTGTGCACATGCTTTCAGTTCTCTTGGGTAAATACCTAAGAGTGGAATTGCTGGACCATATGATTAACTTTATAAAAAACTCAAATAGTTTTCCAAATGGGAAACTTCCACCAGCAATGTATGAGAGTTCTGACTTATATTTTAAAAGATATTTCTTATTACTCTGTGAAGCCCAAATTGCAGTGGAGTAAGAATGAAAGCAGAGAGACAAGTTAGGAGACTGTTGCATAGCCCAGGTGAGAGGTAGTGGTGGCTTGGACTAGTGTGAAAGAGGGGATAAAAAGAAGAGGTGTTGATAAATTGAATGAAGTAGGGAAAGATAAGTGTAAGGGCAGAATTAATGATATCATCTAAGTTGTTATCCTAAGCAACTTAATAGTTGGTAGTGCCATTTACTAAAATTAGGACAGTTAGAGGATGGAGCAAGTTGAAGGAGTGGTGATAAACGAAGAATTGTGTTTTGGATGTAAGTTTAAAAGTTCATTAGACATTAAAGTGGAAATGTCAAATATCAGTTGAATATACATGTATGAAGTTCAGGAAAGAAGTCAGGGCTGGAGATTTAGGCTGTCAATATGTAGAGGGTATCTAACGTCATAGGATTGGATGGGACTACACAAGGAGTATTGTTGAAAGAGAAGCAAAGAACGTACAACGTTGCCCTTCAGACCACCAGCATTTAGAAATTTAGCAGAAGAGGAAGAATCAACAAAGTCTGAGAACAAGGAAAAGCAGAAGGTGTGGTGTCAAGGAAGTCACAATTAGAAAATGTTTCAAGAAGGAAGTGGTGGCCAGTTAAGAAGTTGGGAAGGATGAGGATAGAGAATCGATTTTGGGATTTGACACTATGGAGGTCATTGGTGACCTTGATGAGCAGTTTTGGTGAAGTGGTAGGTTCAGAAACTCACCTTTGAAAAGAACACAAGAGGTGAGAAAATTAAGACAAGTATAGCTGTCTCTTTCAAGAGCTTTTTGTGTGTGTATGAAGGGGAACTGATAAATGAGGCAGTAGCTAGAGGAGAATGTGAGGTCAAGGAAGGTTTTTTCTTAAAGATGGAAGACATGTTTGATATCTCCTTGTCTCTTTCCTGCTCCCACTAAATTTGAATCATCACCAGGTTCTATTTATTTTACCTCATAAATCATTTAAATGTATTAATTTATCTCCATTACAACTATCACTACCCTAATCTATCATCATCTGCCATATAGACTACTGCAGTAGTAGTTCTAACTGACCACCTACTTTCACTATAGAAGAAGAAGAACCATTGCCATTGAGTCAATTCGGACTCCTAGCGACTCTATAGGACAGAGTAGAATTCATTTAATCTCTTCTCAACAATTCAGCCAGACATTTTGCAAGTACAAATCTGATCAAATCACCTCTCCATCCCATCCCCATTAGATTGTAAAGATCTTCTTACTGCTTTTAGGATAAAGACAAAACAGCATGGCTTAGGAGCCCTGTATGACCTCGCCACGGATACTCCCCAATTTCATCTCCCATTCTCCCCGATCCTTTTTGTGCTTCTGCTACACTGACCTAACCTGGCCACAAGGCCTTTGTACTTGCTATTTTCTCTGCCTAGAGTATTCTTCTTCTCACATCTCCCCTTCTGCACCATATTCTGCCTAATAACTATTACTGTTTCTTCAGATGCCTAGTTCAGTCATCCCTTCCTAAGGAAAGCCTTCCCTGACCTCTCTAATCATGTTAATTCCCTTTATTATATACTCATACAGTACCAGGTAACTTTTACATGCTTTCCACAATTGTCATTTTTCATTTTCCTGTGATTATTTTATTAACATCTGTCTTCCCTACTAATGTGGAAGCCCCATAGGAGCAATGATACTTCTGTGAGGACAGTGACTGTAAAGTCTGGCACAGAGGGAATACTCGGTAAATTTTTGTTAAGTGAATTGAATGAATGAATCCTAATTATTAATACCTCATTAAGTAATATACTATGGTGTCTTGAAATAATTTGGAAATTTTCTAGTACCTATGAAGAAGAGATGACAATCAGCGTTATTTTTTAAATCCTTAATTTTAAAATGACTGTTTGAAACTATATTCCCTTATATTCAATTATCTGCCTTTAACCAGCAGAAGTTTTACTTGCTGCTTCATTATTTTTACCCTTCTCTCACTTGTTTGTGGTTGCATGAGTAATTAAAGATCACAAGTATTCTTCCATTGTAAATGATTAGATTCAGTTCAGTTTCCTTCCACTTTTTACCAGAGATATTATTAAATACCAAAATTGACCAATGCATGCCATGTCTTTTAATTTCCTTTGCCATTAAAAGCAAATTTATGAAGAGGCTAATTAACATCAAAATCAATTGATTATCTCACAACCAGAAGGAATATCAAAGACTCCTGATGAATCTTCAAACTGGAAAACTAAGAAGTAGCTTGATTTTCATTATATAAATAAGATAGGTGTCGTGAAATCAGTTATCATTTGGGCAGGGAGTATAAAAGTTGATTTGTGCTTTCAAGAAGAAATATGTAGTAATCTTATTTTTTAAATTTTGTGTATAAATATTGGAAAATAGAATAATTGGTTTACATTCTATTTTATGTTTAATAATACTCTTTTAAAAATATTTTTCAGAGAAATATTTCAGAATTCCAAATTAACAGCAACTGATAAGAGATGCAGGCAAAGACCACCAAAGGTGAAGAATAAATCTCATGCTCAGTGTGTTTTTATTTCTCGAAATTTTCATACTGGAAGATTCCAATTACAGGTAGAAAGTAATATTTTATAGCAATATTTTTAAAGAATTTTTGACACCATGTGATTAGCATTGTTTTTTAAGTTTGAGAAACATAATATCTATATATCTCTAGCCTGGGAACCAATGTTCCCCATAGTGGGATTATTTTGAGGATAAAGATGTGAGCAAAAGATAAATGAGCAAATGGCATAAGGAAAACTGAAAAAAATATCAGGTCTGTCAGAGGACAGAGGTTCAGAGACTAGAGATATTCTGACTATGTAATGAATTCAGTTCAACAAGGATTTATTAAGCCTTCATTATATTCCAGACTCTGTACCTCCCTATTGGGAATGGTAAAATATGGTCCCTAACCTCAAGGAACTCGTGTAGTATAAGTGGGAAAGGCAGACACATAATTAGTGTTATATGGTAAGTGTCAAAACAGTGTTACATGAACAAAGTAAACCAGACAGAAACCAGTAGAAATTTAAAATATGATATGACTAAACAAAATAAAAACAGTTCAGTGATCTTATGTCATTAATAGATCAACTGATAGAATGTTAGAGTTTCCTTATACATCTTGAGTATTCAGTGTTCCTTCATTTGCTAAACAAACATTTATTTAATGCCTCATATACAGCAGCACTAATTTAGACACTGAGGCTAAATAAACAATTTATGAGCCCAGTCCTAGATGAGCCCAAACTGTAGTAGAGAAAAAAAATACATAAACTGATGATTACAACAAAATGTGATAAAAGCCACATAGTTGAGGAAATGTAGACAGGGGGGCTTGAACTGAGGAAGGCTTCACAGAGAAGGGAGTCCCTGTGTGGTGCAGAACTCGGCTGCCAATCAAAGGGCTGAAAATTCAAGTCCACCCATAGGTGCCTCAGAAGAAAGTCCTAGCAGTCTACTTCTGAAAAATCAGCCATTGAAAACCCTATGGAGCAAAGTTCTACTCTAACGTACATGGAGTCACCATGAGTTGGAGTCAACTTGATAGCAACTCTGGTTTCACAGAGAAAACATTTGAGTTGGATTTTGAGAAATGAATGGAAGTTTGCCAGAAGGAAAGAGGACAAAGGACATTCTGTCTTCAAAGACTTTCAGCTATGAAAGAAAATAACATGTTAGTAAAAATGTTACAGTGTTTGGAGCCTAGGGCTCATAGAAGGGAGTGGTGGGAAAAATGTTGGAGATGAGATTATGTTGAGCCTCATTCGGACCCTAAGAATTTTGGATTTTACTGCCTAGGCTATGCAGATCCACTGGAAGCATTATAAGATTATGCTCAAGACCATAGACTCTAGAGCCAGATCATTCATGTTTGAATCCTGACTCTACCACTACTAGCTGGGCAACCCTAGGCAAGTTACTTAACTTCTCAGTGTCTCCGTTTCCTCATCTGCAAAATGAGGGTAGTTTCACCTCCATACAGTTGTTGTGGAAATTAAATGAATTTATATGTAAAAAGCTCTCAGAATAGTGCCTGGCCACATTGTGAGCATACAAGTATACTATTATTATTTTTAAGCAGGTTTTAAACAGGCAAATGTGACCAAATTAATTTAAAAGTTGTTAGTTCTAACTTTCAAATGAAGGATCATCTGAAATAGAGATTGTGTTGCAAAGAAAAAAAAATGTTTCTATGTATGCATTTAACACTTACTGAATTTATCAAGCACCTATCACATGCTAGGCCCTAGTGATATAATGATGTCCTCATGGAGTTTATCTAATAATGGATACAAACGAATAAAAAACAGTTGCTGAGTTTATTCTGACTCATGTAGACCCCATGTGTGTCAGAGTGAAACTGTGCTCTATAGGTTTTAAATGGCTGATTTTTCAAAAGTAGATCACCAGATCTTTCTTCCTAGGTGCCTCTGGGTAGACTTGAACCTCCAGCCTTTAGGTTAGCAGCCAAGCGGGTTAACCATTTGCACCACCCAGGGGCTCCTACAAACAGACAATTAGAAAAGTGTCATAAGTGCTATGATGGAAGAAGTACATATATAAAGCCAAAAACCAAATCCATTGCCATCGAGTCAATTCTGACTCATTAGGACAGAGTAGAACTGCCCCATAGAGTTTCCAAGGAACGGCTGGTGGATTTGAACTGCTGACCTTTTGGTTAGCAGCTGAGATCTTAACCACTGGGCTAAATTTTAAGTAGGTTTTTTATTATTCATTCAACAAATATGCGGTAAGTTCATTAGTGGAACTACTATCCTGTAATTGCAGTTAACCATTTACTTTTCTTTGTAGTTTTACCACAAATGTCATGGATCCTTATAAAGTTTATGTTTTTGGATTCCATATTTAATATAGTCTTCCCTTTTTTGCTTAGTGTTAGGTTTCTGAGATTCATCCAGGTTGATGCATGTAGCCATAGTTCATCATTTTTACTGTTATATGGTTCTGCATTATATGCATATGTCTCATTTTATGTTATGGATATTTGGTTTGTTTTCATGTATTTCTGTATAGAATATAGGGAATACACCTGACAATAAAATTGCTGAGTTACAGGATAACATGCTCAACATTGTTAGACAATTATAAATTATTTTCAAAAGTAGCTGTATCAATAGACATTCCCCCAAGACATGCATAACTGCTCAGATTGCTCCATATACTCAACAAATATTAATATTTTCAGGCTTCTAAATTTTTGCCAATCTGATAGTATCTCACTGTGGTTTTCATCTGTATTTTTCTTCTAACAAATGAGGTGGTTGTCTTTTCTAAAGTTCATTGGCCATTTATGGTTTCCTCACGTGAAATGCCTGTTCAAATCTTTTATTCCTTTTTCTACTTAGGTTATTTGTCTTTTTATTACTGTTTAAAAGAGTTATTTATTCTGGATACCAATCCTTGTCAGTTTTGTTAATTTCAACATCTTCATCCACTCTATGGCTTTTCTTTTTACTCTGTTTATAGTGTTTTGATAAACAAAAAGTTCTTTAATTTTTAATGTAACCTGATATCTCAGCCTTTTCCTTTATGATTTATTATTTCTTTCCCTACTCTGAAGTCATAAAGATACTCTTCTATGTTGTCTTTTAAGAGTTTTATACTTTCGCCAACATAAGTCTTTAATCTGTCTAGAATTGATTTTTGTATTTGGTGTAAGAATACACTTTTACTTTTTTCCATGTGTCTTTTGGGATTTTGAGGAGGATTGCACTGCATTATTAGATCAATCTGGGGAAAGCCAATTATTTACAATATTAAATCTTGTAACCATGAATATGGTATATCTCTTTATATATGTTATCCTTAATATTTTTCAGTAAAGCATTATAATTATAAGAGCCTTGCACATATTATGCTAGCTTTTATTACTGCAAAATTTATATTTTTATGTTTTTGTGATATGATTTTTAAGTAAACTTTTTATTTTGGAATAATTTTAGATTTATATAAAAGTTGCAAAGTTAATAAATACAGGATTCTTGTATATCCCTCACTCGGTTTCCGCTAATGTTAAAATCTTAAATTATCATATTACATTTGTCAAAACTAATAAATCGGTATTGGTACATTACTGTTAAATAAACTCGACTTTATTTGGATTTCACCAGTTTTTACACTAATGTAATTCTGCTCTTCCAGGACCTAACCCAGGATTCCACATTGCATTTCGCCATTGTGTTTCTTTAGACTTCTCTGGTCTGTGACAGAGTCTTAGTCTTTTCTTGTTTTACCCGATCTTGGCAGTGTTGAAGAGTGCTGGTCATGTGTTTTGTAAGATGTCCTTCAGTTTCGGTTTATCTGATGTTTTTCTTGTAATTAGACTGAAGTTAAAGATTTTAGATTTGGGGGAAGAATACCATTGAGGTGAAATTGATTTTAAAAAATATTTTTAAAATACTTTAAAAATATTTTAATGATATGTAATCACATACAGTAGAATGCAAAGAACCTAGATATTCCCCTCAACGAGCACTGACAATTGTATACTCAGTCAGCCAACACCCAAAACAAGATACAGAAGAACATTTTTATTACCTAAGAAAGTTCCCTTGTGTCCCTTTCCAGTGAATTCCCTTTCCTATTCGAGGAAAGCACTTTCTGATTTCTGTCAACAATGTTTTGTTTTTAATCTGTTCTTAAATTTCATGTAAATGGAATCATACAATATGTATCTTTTATGGCTTTCTTTCACTTAATACAACTTTTTGGGGTTCACCCATGTTATATAGTATATGTAGTATAGATGTACAGAGTTGCTATGAATTGGAATCAGCTCAACGGCGAGTATATGTGTATTGGAACTGTTTGTTTTTTCCATTAATAAGTAATATTCTATTGATTGAGTATGCAACAATGTTTATGCATTCTCTTGTTGATGGGCATTTGGATTGTTTTCAGTCGGGGCTGTTATGAATAAGCCTGCTCTGAACATTTATGTACAAGCCTTTTTGTGAACATATATTTTGTTTCTCTTGCGTCAATACCTGAGCATGGAATTGGGGGAGCTTGGGTAGATGTATGTGTAATGTTATGAGAAACTGCCAGACAGGTTTCCAAAGTGGTTATACCATATTTCACTCCGATCAACAGTGAAAGTTCCAATTGCTCCATGTCTTAGTTACCTAGTGGTGCCATAACAAAAAATACCACAAGTGAGTGGCTTTAAAGAACAGATATTTATTTTCTCATGGTTCTAGAGGCTAGAATTCTGAATAGCTCTGGGGGTGGGGAAGTGGGGTCCTTCTTTGTCTATTTCAGCTTCCAGTAGCTACAGCAATCCTTGGTGTTCCTGGACTTGTAGATGTGGTGTATGTCTACCTTCATATGATAGCTTCCACCTCTGTGTGTGTCTGTTTTTATAACTCAGAAGTAATTAGGTTTAGAACCCACCTTTCTCTAGCATGGCCTCATTAACATAACATTAACATAAAATGCCTATTTCCAAACAGGGTTATATTTACAGGTACAGGGATTAGGATTTCAGCACATATTTTGGGGGGACACCATTCAATCCATAACACCCTGCATCCTTACCAAAATTT